CCTGTTTCTGTTCCTGCCTGATCTGGATCCTGCCTGTTCTGTCTGTTCATGTCTGTTCCTGTCTGTTCTGGATCCCTGACCAGGACCGGCTTCCAGCATGTCCTCTGGAACTGCAGCACTTGGGGACATTCTAGGACTGGACTGTTAAACCAGAGTGTCTGAGATTGGGCGGTGCCCCGCCCCCCATCTGCAGTGTCCGTGAGCCTCAGCTCCACTTCAGTTTTTGTTTTATTTTAATAAACTTTTTGAACTTTCCTACTGACTGTCTCTCCTTGAATACTGGGTCCATCTGTCCACGTTTCATGACATATAGTGCAGTTATGTGGGCTACAGCACAACAAACCATCACCTGAACATACATTTTACTGCTCATTAGCAAATGTTTATAACTGAAAAGGTCACATGTACTTAATGGTCTATAGTGTGGTGGTCAAAGTCTACCAGGTGTGTATCCCCATGGCCCATAATAGGAAGGGAAACCCCAGGTTACAGCCAAGTCCTCATAGTCCATGGGTAGCAGTGGGCTGGTGGAGGAGAGGAACTCAGGGTGGAAAATGATCTGAGGACACATGAAAACAATGAGGTACAGGTGAGATTTCTGTTGGATTTTCTTGCTACTGTGGTTCAATTTTATCAATCGTGTCGCAAAGTGAAAAATGGGGAGCGGTGGCACAGTGGTTAGAGCTTTGGGTTTGGGTCACAGAGGCTCAGATTTCAAGTCCCGCTCAGTCCCACAGACTGCCACTCTGGGTCCCTGAGCAAGACCCTTAACCCTACACTGTCTTAACCCTACGCTGCGCCACATAATGGCAGCCCACTGTTCCACATGGGGATGGGTTAAATGCAGAGACTAAATTTCCCCATTAATTGACAATAAATGGATTTACATTACATTTAATAAAAAATATAATTTATTTTGAATCAAAACTTGCATTTATTTCTAATAAGATTATCCTTTTAGCTGAAATGCGATACCAGAAAATCTGTTTCTGATCAAACTGATTTCTTGATATCAATAATATATCAAATCAGAAGTGGTTATTAATAAATTTAAATTTACCACTGAAGTTTGAGAAAAATTGTTTTGTATTTTCTAACAGCTTTAGCTTTAGTGAGATGTTTCTTCTACCAGTGACCAACTTTGATCTTAGAAAAGTTGATCTTCAGCTTTGCAGGGTTTCCTAAAGTTATAGCCTGGCTAACATCATATCAGCTGGATTAGCGTTTGGGTCGGTCTAGACTTGAGAAACAAATTTAACAAATTACTCATTTTAAGAGTTATAATAAATGAAGTTAAATGTAATGAGAGCAATGTTGGATTCAGTTACACAGTAAAATAAACAGTCATTTTGTAATTTAAAGGAGATTGTTGTTTATGTAATTGCAATCTTTATTTTCTCTGTTTAGCTGTTGGTAGTGGTGATGAGGTAATCAAGCAAATTAAGCCTGGGAAGCACTGATTTAACCCAGAACTCTGAAAGAAGCTGTTTAACATGGGGCGCTATGAGGTGAAAGGTCTTGTTCAGAAACCTAGAACTTTGATCTCTGCACTCTTAACCACAGGGGTCAACATTCACCATTGTTTGCACATCCACGGGTTGCGTCTTTGCATCAGTTGGGATTATTTTTTAAGTTTGGACGACTTTATTGTTATTTTTTTTTCAGAAATGTCAAACATACTTTCAAACTAACATCTTGACCCTGATAAACCCACAGTGAAACTAGCATGAAATGGGCAAAAGTAACACAATGTCAGCTATAAATACATCAAGTTAATAGATTAACAGATAGGCTGGTAAACGTTTTTAGTCCAAAACCTGAAAAAAATAAAACATTTCTAATATTAATTAACACACCAATGATAGAAGTGATTCTGAGGATCACAGATCGTGTTGTTTTTATTCCTTTAATCACAGCTGAAGGTTTGTCAGGTTGTAAAATGCTGAAGTGAACAGATGGAACGTTTCAGCTACCTTAACACGGTCATTTCTGGCATTGAAGAGGCCGATGCGTCTGACATGAAACAGGATCGGATCCGTCGAGTCGTCCAGCATATTGTGGGTGGTCACCGGAGGAAGACTGGTTCTCTGAGTTGAATTTGTTTGAGAAAGAAGATTCAATACATTTAGAACGCATTTATTTAGCTTCATACAACTAAACAGTCCTCCATTCATTCTTGTTTGTTGTTTGCATGCTTTTGGCACATGCACTATTAGACGCTCTTTTATTGAAAAAAGTGTAGCTTCTTCTCTGCAAACTCTGCAGCAGCAAAATAATGCACACATTAACCAGCAGTGTGGGGCACCTTACTTTGAAAAAGTAACTTTTTAGGAATGACTCTGACCTGGATGACTGAGGATCTTCTCAGTATTTTTCTCAGTGTTTGAAGCTTTAGGTTTGTGTAATTTGGCCTAATGATGTTTCCTCCTTTCCAAACTAAAGGGTTTCATTACCACCATTGCTCACATTTCTAATCAATAAGACTAGCAGCCCAACCCCCAGAAATACCATCTCTTAAATGGTGAATGACCTTTTGTTGGTGCTTATTAGTAACTCTAACAGAGGAAAAGGGGAAATAGATATTGTATTGACCCACAGTGCCACGAAGAGTTTGGTATTTATTCAGCAGTGCTTTGTTTAACACTTCAGCATTTTTTTTTCTTCTTAACTGAGGTAAATGCTCAAAGAGAAAAAACTGAGATAACGTTTAACCAACCTGTCTGTTTGATTTTAATTGTCTCTGTTATCAAGTCGGATCTAAAGGTCCTGCAGCTAGGGTGGCCAGATGTCCGGCTTTAGGGCGGGCAGTCCGGATTTTCATTGCACTGTCCGGCGTCCGGCGCTGCATCCAGCCGGACGTGTATTTGTCCTCCTTTATGAGGCACTAGGCTTGTAGAGCAGATTTTTATCTTTTATTTTTTGCTGGGCTGCAGCACAATATCCAATCATCAGAAATGCATCACTATCTGATGATTGGCTAAGAGTGGCGGCGTGTCAGATAAAGATCTGCTTGTCATTGGTTACAAAAGTAAACAAGGATCAGAATTACTGATGCTGTCGATGCGATGTGGGCGTAAGCAGTCGAGGAAAAGCTGCCATTGAACGTGCGAGTACGGATTAACAT